CCCCCCCCCCCCCCCCCCCCTATACGTCTCTATTACATGTAAGGCCTTCCGCACCACTGGACCCAGGCCTAATGGAAGTATGGAAATTGATGTTCTGGGTATCTAAACTCTGTCCTCCTCCTCTGTGGACTGCTGATAGTGTGTGTTTGCCTGTGGGCGTGTGTGCGCGCCAGTGTGGTTTCTTATTACGGTCGATCAAGATGGCCAACAGGTGGTTTGCAAAGAAGGCCCTGGAATTAGTTTTGGAAGAGAGGGAAGTATTTGATGATGATGAAGAGGGAGAGGATTCAGAAGAAGAGGTTTCAGAAATTAAAGATAATTATTTCTTAAAATTCGGAGTCTGACAGTGACTCTGAAGAAAATGATGAGATTGAGCATCTGCCTGTTTCAAAACAAAGACGAGCCACGGAACCAGGTCGTCAGCAGCTAGCACCAGCACCAGAATAAGACAGCATGGGGCGAGTGAGGAAATATGGATTTCAATAAATTTTGCAATAAAACCATGTTACCGCCCAAGAAAAGAGTCACCCCGCAAGGCTGCCAATGTGATGAGGATGCAACCAGGGCCAACACGAATGCCAGCTATTCACACACAGGACATCAAGTCTTCGTTTGAGCTTTTCATCCTAGATCCCATCGAGGAACTTGTTCTTCACAGCAATAATTTAGAAGGAGGAAGTGTTTTTTGGATTGCTTCACTTGTAAATTTGTTTCCCAGACATGTCTTGATTTTAATTGATTTTCTTTATTGTGTTGTTTATGCTGCCACATATACTGTTTATACCGCTTGTAATTGGGATGAAGTAAACATCTATTGAGTACCTGACACAAAAGTGTTTGATTTTGAGGCATTGAAAACCACAGAATGCTACGAGTCCACCAGACCCACGATGACCGGTTGTGTAACAAAAATACAAGGATCACATAAGGGTGAATGCATCACGGCTTGATAGATACCTCGTTTTGCATCAGTATATCGCCGTCATAGCAAAATACTTCTTGATGTATCTGCCTTTCGTTGCCCATCAGAACAAAATACTCCTCTGCCATTTATGTCCAACCCCCTTATGTAGTCAAGAACAATTTTCTGGATAAATCTAGGATGTTTAGCTCAAAAAAGACTTGAGGTCCTATGAGTGAGTATCTGATATCCGTGTTGGCCTTGGTTGCATCTTTATCACATTGGCAGCCTTGCGAGATACCTCTTTTCTTGGTCGAGATGATATCATTGCAAAATTTTTCGACATCCATATTTCCTCACTTGCTCCATGCTGACTGCCCGCCTTGCTGGGACTGGCTGCTGACGGCCTGGTTCTGTGGCTCGTCTTCGTTTTGGAACTGGATGATGCTCAATTTCATCATTTTCTTCGGAGTCACTGTCAGAATCCCACTTTTAAGAAATGTTATCTTTAAATTCTGAAACCTCTTTTTCAAAATCCTCTTCCTCCACATCATTCCTCTTCAAAAATCATTTCCAGGACCCTCTACGCAGACCACCTTTTGGCCATCGTGATCGTTTGCGATAAGAAACCATACGGGCGCACACACATCCACACACGTGCATACACTATCAGCGGAGGACAGAGTTTAGATACCCAGAACATCAGTTACCACACTTCTATTAGCTTTGGATCCAAAAGACCTGTAGACTTTACATGTAATTGAAATGTGTAGAGGGGGAGGGGGAGTACACGGTGTGTGATCACTAAAAATTTGTTCTGATATATGTTCGTCACAGAAAATCAGGCAAGGCCAGTGAATTAGATTCTCCTAATAAAAAAGTAAACGGGTTCCACAGACCCGAACAGCACGCAAAGGTGAGTCTTAAGGCCAGCTTAAAGCTGAGTCCGACCCCACTGACCCAACCGGACGCTGTGCGGGACCTCAACAAACTTAATGATTCTTTCCCGCCTTTGAAGCACCGCCCAACCACGCCAAAAAGTTCTCCCGTTTATCATCCGCGGGGCGACAATATGAAC